TTATTTATTTGCGAGAGAGAGAATGAGAGACAGAGAGCATGAGAGGGGGGAGGGTCAGAGGGAGAAGCAGACTCCCCGCTGAGCAGGGAGCCCGAAGTGGGACTCGATCCTGGGACTCCAGGATCATGACCCGAGCCGAAGGCAGTCGCTTAACCAGCTGAGCCACCCAGGCGCCCCTGTAGCTGTAATTCTTTATGAGTTATACACAGTGTGCAATGTGTTGGGTCAGGAGTGATCATCTTTGCATTAGCAATTCTAAATAGAATGGTGCCACAATGAACACAGAGCAAGTTCTCAGTGAGTAGACTGACCTGGGATGGAGAGAGGAAACAGTTAAGTGGAATTGGTATTCCTAGGTCTGTACCAAGTTCTTTGGGTTAATTCCCCCACAAAAATAAGACCTGGCTCATGGGTACTAATGGAATTCCACAGTATGCAGGATAGTGATTGGGCAACGAGCCTAAGGTAATTCTCTGCCTGCTTTGGAGCTGGTTTCTGTGGGAAGCAGGACTCTGTTGCTGGGGCACCAGATGCTGGGTTCATTTGTACATTTGCACAGACAGCAGCAAATGGGCGTGGGGTGGGCTAGGTGTAGGAGGGACAGGAATGGAGTAGGGGGCAGGTTGATGCAGCCTCAGTGCAGGTAGGCTCTGCTGGCCTGTGTTGGCTGGTTCCCCAATTATATTTTAAGAAAATGTGTTTATTACTGTCAGATTGCTTGATTTTGCTAAGAAACATAGTGAATACCTTATATAAAAAGAGAACTGAAAAACTTAATGTCTTAAAAAAAGGCTTTATTCCATATGGACTTCTGAACATGGTCATTATATTCCAGTTCTGTGGGAGAAGAATGAACTCTGGAGGCTAGCCCACTTATCACATTTTCCTTTCTTTTCAGAAGTAGCTTAGGAGCAATGTTACTTGGGGTCCAAGTGTGAATTTTTATTTTTGAGAATTTATCCATGTGTTCATTATCTAAGCCTGTTTTCTAGCCCATCATATCCAAGTATTATATACCCCAATATCTAACAGAAAATCTGGTATGTCCTGAGAGAAACCACTGCCATGACTTATTAATGAATTAACTGGGCATAATTTTCATAGGGTTCATTCACCCAAACTTATCATAGAATATAATGTAAGAAAAAAATAGAGTAATTGAATTAAAGTTCTTTTTTGGAATAATATTAGCATTCAAGGATCCCCATCCCCCATGGATACTGCAGTTACTAATGTGTCAGACTTCCCCTTCAAGAAATCAGCTGCATATCCCTTCTTCATTATGTGGGCTGGCTCTCTTCTATTTGCCCCTCAGACCTCTCCTACCTCTTCCCTGCCCTGTGTAGACCATATCAATGGGCTCCTTGTACTCTGGCTTTCAGTGGGTTCAGGTAATGTGGGGTGGAGAGTGAGATCAGGGTATTTTAATCCCTGGCTCCCTCCCTGAGGGCCACTACAGCTGGCCATGTCCCTCAGCCTGTCTGGCAGCCCCCTCCACACAGCCTTCTCCTTTCCCATTCTCCCTCAGGCAATTACCATCCCAGGGACACTGTTCCACCCGTCTGTTTCCCTACATGCTGCCAACACCTATGTAAGTATTCTATTTATTAAACTCTTAAAATATCCCAATTGGAATGTGCCATCTGCTTCATGCTGGGACCGTAACTGATACAAATAAGCATTTGATCCACAGAGAGAAGAGGACTGCTGACCTCTTGGTGGTTACCAAAGATAGAAAGGGGCCTAATTAGCCCAGTTGAAGCATTACCATCTAAAATCCCAGCCCAAACCTTTCTTCAGGAAGCCTGCCCTTTCTGCCTCTGTGGTTGTGGTCCCCTCTCAGGTTGGTTTTATGTTTTCAAAGCTGTGTGTCTGCGCATGTCAGGCTGGTAGCACCCTGTTTGTTTTGGTGTGTGTTTCAAAGAGTAACAGACTTAGATCCAGCAGTGCAGGGGAGATCTCCTGAAAGTCACAGGATATGGAATGTGAAACGTTGATCTTTCCAGTATCTCTAACATGGCCCTATATCACTTGACTTGCAGCTGGCACATGTATTTTAGAAAAATGGAAGGATTGATGTTGTTATGTAATGTTTTAACCCCTACCAAAATTCATATGTTGAAGTTTAATCCTCCAATGTGATGGTATTTGGAGATAGGCCTTTGGGAGATAGTTAGGTTAGATGGGGTCATGATGGTGGGGCTCTCAGAATGGGATTAGTGCCCTTATAAGAAGAGACACCAGAAAGCTTGCTGCTCCCCCACTCTCTGTGCATGCATGCTCGTGCATACACATACACACACACACAAAGAGGTCATATGACCACACAGCAAGATGGTAGATGCCTACAAACCAAGAGAAGAGCTCTCAGAGAGAAACCTTGATCTGCCAGCATCTTGATCTTGGACTTTCCAGCCCTCAGAACTGTGAGAAATAGATTTGTTGTTTAAGCCACACAGTCTGATATTTCGTTTAGCAGCCCAACCTGACACAAACGTGTAGATGTTTTTGCAAACAAGCTATTTGTATTGTCCCAGGCAAATGATCTATTTGGGTGGTCCTTGCTCTTTTAGAAATTTGTTTGGGAATTTCTCCTTGTAGCCTACTGTAATATTTAAAGACATTGGAAATTTTTTGGCTGAAACTTAAGCTTTAATAAAAGGCCCATGTATCTTTCTCAGACTGGTTGAACTTAGAAATGAGTAAATTTTCTCAATTTGCCAATTAAAAAAGCCCTTTAGCTATAGATGTTGAGGAGGCTGGGCCTTTGGTTTTTTTCCTAAATGGAAGTGGGAAGGTGCTCACAGAATGATGCCAAGCACCGGTGGCTGTACAATTTCCATTTTATTTTGTGTGCTTTTTTTAATAGGATATAAATAATGACAAAAATTACAAAATTTATAACTGGAAGCCCAAGCATATTTACACATATGTTTCTGTTTCAGCAAAGCTACTATTTACTTTGCTCCTATACAATTACCTTTTGGTACCATATTTCAGTGTTATTTTTACTCTCCATTTACTACATACATATCAACAGTGAATAGGCAAAATATATACAAGGAACTGTTCAGGTCAAGTAATTTAATATTGTATTAAAATTCTTCAACACTGAACTAAATCCATATACATTTGTCAGTTTGAAATAAAATTTAATTATCTTTCTTTAAAACTCACCAACTGATGAATAACTAATAATCCTCAGGTTTGAAATAATATTGGTTAATAAAAAAACATTAAGACAATCCCACAATTTATCAGTATCGCTATAATGAACTTCAAAATGATTCACAATATGATCAGTTAGAACAATATATGTTAAAATGTTATTTTTTCTATAATGATATCGGTACTGTTTATATAATTTGATTCTACATAAATATACATTATGGAATCATACAAATACTCCACAGAGACATTAAAAAAATTAAAATACCTTAAAGAAATGTAAGTAAATTTTATTTAATCAAATAGTAAGCAAACATTTATTTGTTTCAAGAAAAGAGTTTTATTACTTTGGAATCTCTCTCTTTTTTTTTTTTTTTTTTGTATTTTTTTCTAGAAAAAAATTTTTGCAATAGAATTTTACTAACACCTTTCTCAAACAAGGTTTCCATGACAGAAATCTTGACAGCAGGAGCCCTAGTTTTTTTTTTTTTTAACGTTTTCTTTAAAACACTGTGAAAGTTAAAAAAAAAAAACAATCTTTGCAGCTTATGGCTGCGTCAGCACTTTCGGTTGGATGCCAGTCTGCTTGCCCTAATCTCCTGCTCTGGGGAGTGTCATCAGCACTTTGCCACACCCAAGCCAGTCCTCTTGGTGGTAGCAGTAAAAATTTAGTTACTTGAAATGAAACCAGAAACATCCCTCACAACTAACCTAGTTTTCTTATCAGTGCATTAATGAAACATTCTTTTAATAAAAATATTTAATACAAGACACATTTTTCTGTGCATAATAAATTCCTCTGTTTTGAATTATTCTTAAATTTTTAATCAATCCATAGATGTAAATGTTTTCTTTATCTGACATGGTTGATTACATATAAAATCCACAAATATAGAAATTGGGAAACAGGATTTCCTGGCAATCATAGGGGTGGTTTTGTCCTTATGCATGAAATGATGCTCAGTGATACAATTTTACAGATGTTTTATGGGGGTAGTTCTGTTCTGATTCTACCTTTAAAACTGCTGACTGTGAAAAATCCAAGATTTTTTATACTTTTAGGCAGTATTAGAGATCCCCTGTACCTTTTCTTTTTTTTAAAGGTATTATCCCCAAATTCAGCAAAGCAGTGTTGGGGGCAGAGTCATTAGAAATACCTTGGGTGGTGGCAGGGAGGGGAGTCGGGAGAGTCAGCGAAAAATCTCAACTCATGCCTCTCAGGGGTTACGGCTGGAAAGTCTTGGTTGCATACTGGTGCAGAAAGAACGTCCCCAGGAATGGCCAGCGGCCTTTCGCCTGTGACAAGGCCACACAAACAGAGCAGTCTTCCTCCTGGGCTGGGTGGAAACTGAGGCGCGAAGGGAAGCCTGCTCCGGGACTGCTCAGCGTGCAAGGCACCGCGAGGACAGGAGGATGGTGAGTATCAGAAAATTGTGGTTTCATACTTGGTATTAATTCCTCTCTTGGCTTCTTGTCCCGGCTCCACAATCCACGGCAGATTGGCCAGAGTCTTTTGCTCAGATGGGTCGATCTGCTTTAAAACAGAAAGGCTGATGCCTGTTATACGATACCTGTACCGGGGTGTAAACATGCTTCCTAACACTTCTTGGAAACCAACACTAGGCCTTTACAGGACTGCAGTCCTGTCACAGACCAACAGGTATGTGAGAATTGTGTGTTTGTCCTTCTCATACATGTTTATTGCATAAGGACTGTATGCAAGGCATTCAAAGGGTGGGTGGTGAATGAGTCCTGGCCCTTGCTCTTGAAGGCACACAGATGGGGAGCAAACACAGAAGCACTTTGATACTGAGAAGGGGGATGGATGGAGGGAGGCTGCTCTGCGGTTAGGGAGCCAGGGGACTTCCTAGAAGAGGTGAACCAGGTTATGTCACTCTCCAGCCCTCAAGCCTACAGTAGTTTCTGTTACAGAATAAACCTGAATTCCTCAAGGTGAAGTCTAGCCACACTGACTTTGCTTCTACCTGCATGCCAAGACCACACCCTTTGCTCTGCGGGAATGCCTTTCCCCAGACACCTGCATGCCTACATCATCTCCTCACCTATTCACCCAATACAAAATAGCATCCTAACTTTTCTGCTCTCCTCTTTAGCTCTAGTCTTTATAATCCTATGCCACATACATCATATTTATTCCTTCATCCTCCACTGCAGTGTACGGTTTTGTTCTCTTCACTGTTTCCCCCAAACTTAGAAAACCTCCTGGCAACCCAGTAAATAATAGTAGGTACACAATAAATACTTACTGAATAGATATTATAAGAGAATGAGGTAATGTCTAAACAGCTGGAGGACGAGCTAGAGTTTGCCTGGTGAGGGGGCAAGGAGAGAGGGAACAGCATGTGCAAAGCTCCTGTGGTAAAGAGAAGTGGCAGGTTGAGAACTTGCAGTTAGTTAGTTCACAGAGTGGAGATGGGAGGGTGAAAAGGTGAGCAGGGCCAGGTCAAGCTGAGCCTTGAACCAGACTGAGCTGAGCTATAAAATGGTTAAAACCACGTTTTAGCCCCTGTGCACACAAAGTCAAACAGGCCATTCCTGGGTAATGCTTGAGCTGTGAGCTCGCAGGAGGGGCCTTGGAGGGAGTTTTTCACCACACTGCTGCCTCATCTTTTAGTGTTTCCACATCTGCCCTGGCCCTGGCCACCTGCTCTGCTCAGGAATGCTGGGGCAAGGAAGCCTGGGAAGGTCTCTCTTATTTCTCTTGTGCTGTGAGCTTTGGAGCCTCATGAAAGGCTATGGGATCCATGCCCTATGGCTACCTTCCAACATGAATTGATTGTATCTCCACAGAGCTGTGGGAAGGACTTCACATATTCTTAGGATCATGGAATATTTCTCAACAATAAACAACTGGACCTGAGGGAAATGGAACATGGACACCAGTTGAGAGGGATGGGATGTTGAGGCAGTTAAAGGACATCAATATTCACTATATATTTTCATATTTCTCAGTGAAGGCTTTTCAATGAATATTTAACAAGCCCTCATGGCACCCAACCTAGTTGTGCTCTTCTGGAAGTTTATGGAGACCAGAGTAAAGTCAGATGGAGGCACCTGCCATGAACAGATTTATCCAGGCCATATGAGAAAGAATATAATAGTCTAACAGGTAATCCAAAAATATTCTGAAAATTCCTATACATTTAACTTAGTTTTTTTTGGGGGGGGGGGGGACGAGATAAATAATGAACAACTCTCCATCAATAAATGCTATACAGAATTAAAACTGGGTATACACTTGAGTGTGACTAGGTATCTATCTCAGAATGGATGGCCCAGGAAAAGCCTCTTCATGCAGCTGAGACTTGAATGACAAGTGGGAGTCAGCTGTGCAGAAATATGGGGGATACCATGATAGGTGGAAGGAACAGGTGACACAAAGGCCTCAGGTAGGAGTGAGTTTGGTCTGTTCCAGGAATAGGAAGGCCTGAGCATCAGAGAGAAGCATTGTGGGAAATTAGGTTTAGGTACTTGGGGCAGTGGTGCCATGAACTGGTTTGTGTTTTAGGATCACTTTGGTTGCATAAGGAAGACTATTAGGACATGTACTGCAATAGTTCTGGAGTAGTGGTGGTAGCCTGGACGAGAAGAGTGAGGAAATAGAGAGGAATGGGTGGATCTGAGACATGTTTTAGGGGTTGAGTAGATGGAATCTGCTCATGTATTGTACACAGTGGATAGAGGAAGACAGGAAGTAAGGACGACCTCTGGATTTGTGCCTTGAGCAACATGGTGAATGGTTATGCCATTTACTGAGCTCGGAAAGACAGAATATAAATAGTTTTGAGGGAAAAATCAAGAATTCTGTTCTGGGAACTTCCAGGGAAGATGGCAGAGGAAGAGAATCCTAGGCTCACCTCATCCCATGGATACACCTAGATAACACCCACATCAGTGAAAATAACCCAGAAAATGACCTATAGATTGGCAGAAAAGACCTTTCACAGGTAAATGTAGAAAAGAGGCCACATTGAAGAGGGTAGAAACAACAGAGATGTAGCTGGGAGCCAAACACTTGCAGGACCTAAGGGAGGACTGCTGTGGGTGCAGAGGGGAGAGGAGCAGACCCTACACCAGGCACCTCAGGCACAGAGGACCTGCACTGGGAAGATGAATTCCCTTATCATTTGGCTTTGAAAACCAGAGTGTTAACTTAACATCGTGAGTTCTTACAATCAGTGGGGCTTAACACCTGGAACTTTGAAAAATCAGTGAGCCAGAGAGTGATAGGAAACTGAGTCCCTGCCCTTAAAGAGATAGCATAACAAACAGCCCCACCAAGATACAGCAGAGAAGTAGCAGTTTGAAAAACACCTGGGGTATATAGGAGGGAGGGAGATTTGTTTACTAATCTGAGAGCATGTGCTGGAGGGGCAGAGATCTTTGGGAGACTTCTTCAAGAACAAAAGAACTGGTAGGCACCATTTCCCTCTCCCACTCCCCAGCCTAGATACAGGTACACCTGTGTGAACCACTGCAGCAAGAACACCCTCCACCTACCTTGCTAGCAGCATGCCCTGCCCTCACACTCTCCTGTGGTCCCCACCCCCCAACCTGGCCTTGGCGATTCCATCCAAAGCAACGCCACAAGCATAGCAGTATACAAGCAGCCCTGACGGGTCAGCACCACCTCAGAGGGACTCCTGCCCTGGGGAAAGGGGAATAAAACCACAGAAGCAATCTTACGGCCCGAGGAGTGGGCTGGGGGCAGATAACTGGTCTGACTACAGGCCCCACTCACCAACAAAAACTTCTCATGGGACAACACAGGGAGAGTGCCCTGCAGTGCGGTGCTTCTGCAGTTCTGGAAAATACCTGGCCTAACCCAACTCAAGCCCAAGGCTGCCCCAGACTGGCTCACTAACAACACAGGGAACCAAACCCTGCCCGCAACAGGTAAAGAGAGCCATAGAAGACAACTGGACTGAAGGCAAAAGCAGCTCAGCCACAACAGTAAGGTGCACACAATGCCCATAGGTGATACCCCATAAGTGCCAGGTTCTGATAGAGGGACATTGCACTGCAGGGCACTATAGGACCTCTTCTTTATAAGGCCTCTAGTTTCAAGAGCAAGAGACATAGCTAACTTTCCTAACACATAGAAACAGACACAGGGGGTTAGACAAAATGAGGAAACAGAGGGATATGTCCCAAATGAAAGAACAGGACAAAATCACAGCAAGACAGCTAAACTCTTGGAGATTAGCTAACGGAGATAATATGCCTGATACATAATTTAAAGTAAAGGTCATAAAGGTACTTACTGGACTTGAGAAAAGAGAACAGGACCTCAGTGAGACCCTCAACAAAGAGATAGAAAACATAAAAAAGAACCAATCAGAGATGAAGAACCCAATAACAAATTAAAAATATACTAGAGGAAATAAACAGACTAAAGGAAGTAGAAGAATGGATCAGTGATGTGGGGGACAGAGTAATGGAAAGAAATCAAGCTGAAAAGGAGAAAGAAAAAAGATTAACAAAAAATGAGAATAGATTAAGGAACTGAGTGACACCATTCAGTATAATAACACTGCATTACAGGGATCCTAGAAGGAGAAGAGAGAGAAAAGGGGGCAGAAAATTTATTTGAAGAAATAATAGCTTAAAACTTACCTAATTTTGGGAAGGAAATGGAAGTCCAGATCCAGGAGGCACAGAGAGCCCCCAACGAAATCAACCCAAGGAGGTCCACACCAAAACACATTGTAATTAAAATGGCAAAAGTAGTGATAGGGAGAGAATTTTTAAAGCAGCAAGAAAAAAGAAAACAGTTACATCCAAAGGCAGCCCCATAAAGCTATCAGCTGATTTTTCAGAAATTTTGCAGACCAGAAGAAAGCGGCATGATATATTCAAAGTGCCATAAGAAAAAACTTCTAACCAGCAAGGCTATCATTCAGAATAGGAGAGAGAAAGAGTTTCCCAGACAAAAGTTAAAGGAATTCATGACCACTAAACCCGCTCTACAAGAAATGCTGAAGGGGACTCTGAGTGGAAAGACCATAAGCAAGGAGTAAGAAAAGTAGGAAGCACAAAAGCAGTAAAATTAAGTATATCTATAAAAATCAGTTAAGGGATTCACAAAATAAAAGGATGTAAAATATGACACCTAAAATGTGGGGGAGGGCGCTGGGTGGCTCAGTTGGTTAAACGTCTGCCTTCGGCTCAGGTCATGATCCTGGAGTCCCTGGATCGAGTCCCGCATCAGGCTCCCTGCTTAGCAGGGAGTCTGCTTCTCCCTCTGGCCCTCCCCCTCTCATGCTCTCTCTCTCATTCTCTCTCTCTCAAATAAATAAATCTTAAAAAAAAAATGTGGGGGAGAGAGGAGTAAAAATTTAGTGCTTTTAGAATGGGTTCAAACTTAAGTGACCATCAACTTAATACTCACTGCCATATGCATGTCATATACAAAACTTATGGTAACTACACAACAAAAACAGTAATAGATACACAAAATAAAGAAAAAGGAATCCAACTTTATTACTAAAGAAAGCCAGCAAACCATGA